CTGAGAATGTTTCGGAGTGCTCTATGGTCTGCTGGGGTAATAATATAGTGTAAAGCGCATAGAGCCTGCTGTTGAGCGGGGATATACGCTATACAAATGCTATCTATTATTATTATTATTATTATTAACATCATCAACACAACAACAACAACCCAACATCATCAACAACGACAACAACAGTAAGGAGGACAGATTGAGACGTACATCGAGCTCCCTGTTCACAGCCTCGTGTTTCTCTCTGGCAATGGCCAAGTCCTTGTCCTTTGCCCGGCTCTCTAGCCTAGGAAACAAAACATGGGAATTCAAATCAGATTACTGTATACCAATTTTTTTTGTCGGCGCGCGAATTAAATTTGCAATTTAAAGAAATCCAGGAATTCAAGCGGTTCGTGAAAAGTTGAAAGGTGCACTACGGCATTGGGGCCCAATAAGAGAATTCGTATAATTGCTTTCTAGTATTTATCACTTTCATACAGATTCAGACAGGACCTGCTTCGTTATGCATGCCACACACGAGTACACTGGTAAAACGTTCACAGTATTTTTCATGTACTTAGAGCACGCCGGATGTGTTTTCTGCACTGCACGGCATTGAAGTACAACTGGGAAGCAGGCAGCGAAATGAAGATATAAAAGCAACTATTGGCGCTGACTCATGCCTGCATTTCATATAAAAATGCACCCCCCCAAAAAACAACAACAACAACAACCCCCAAACCAAAGCAAAAACAACAACAACAACAACAACAACAACAAAAACAACAAAAACCAAACAACAATAACAAAACAAACCCCAAACAAAACAACCTCAGATAATAAAATGGTTTGGCCGCTTGTTTCAAATGCCACCTAGCCATCCACCCTCGAGAGCCAATAACACTCCGGTTAAAGTACCGGGTTTCTTTAAAAAAAGGACCCATTTAAAGGGCATTAACTCGGTTATCTTTCCACTAATTTCAACAAAACTTCGAAGAAATAAAATTCTGCAATGAGGGTGTTAAATTTGTAAATATAAAAGAAATCAATTTATGTATTCGACAAAATTGAATATCAAATTCTAAAAATGTCAACCAAAATTGAGTTAAACGCAAAGCTTAGCAACTTCTCAAAAATCAACCATACTATTCCAGTTTAAATAGTCATTATTTGTCCATTGAAAAACTATTTTGTGCAAATTTATATTGTCAAATAACCCCAGGGAGGGTTACGTCTATGTAAAGCTTCATTTCTCTCCCTACAAGCTCCAAACGCCACTGGAAATTTTGAATAAGCCTATGGCATGATTCTGGGTCGATTCTTTGGACGTCATGTTCAACATTGAGTTTTAACTCTTCGGTTGTTTGCGGGTTGTTCCCGAAGACTCTGTCCCTTAATAAAATGGGGGGG